ACTGAAAAAACAAAAGTAAGACAACCAAAATTGGATTGAGAGAATGTTAAAAAAATGGGTATGTTTTTACTAGAGCTGTGCAAAATGGGTTGATTTAATCGGAACCGAACCGAATCAAACCGAAAATTGGTGGTTTGGTTTTACTTAGGTAAATCATTTGGTAACAATTTTCTCAAATCGAATGGTTTGGTTTGGTTTAAAACTGAAAAACTGTAAACCAAATTGAACACCGAACAACTAGTAATATATACATATATATACACACACTTTTTATTTATCTTCACTCTTCATTTTTAAGATATAAATAAATAATTTAGACATGGAAAAAGAGAACGGTACAACTTTTGAAGATTTGATGTTTTTCTAATAATAACATCAAAATTTATTTCAAATCAAATCCTACTAATTCATTTACATAGCACATTTTTGTTGTGGGATATATATTATTTGTGTTAATTTACAAATTAATAGAATGGTACACCTTAATTTACAATTAATCTCGAGTCTTGTAAAAACCTATGTTAGCAAATACGACATATTTGTATTTGTTATGTTTTGTACTGTAGCTGTATGAAAAGATGTGTGAGAATAACAATAACAAATTGCATTTATATTTTTTACATGATTCATTTTAATAAAATTGTGTATATTACAACATTTTTACCAATTACTCATTTTGCTAATGAACTATAAATTTACTAGTATTTTTTGTGAGAAGTGAATCTTTTTTTCAAGTGATCGAAAAGATGTTAGAGTTTTAATTTATAAAATTTTATTATATCTTTTTGTATCTTTTATTTCCTTTTACATTTTATTTAAATAATAAATAAAAGAAGATAAGATGGATTACTACTTTCATTTTTATTCTAAAATATAGAACTTGATCAAATAAAATAATAAACATTAGAAACCGAATCAAATCGAACCAGTTTGAACCTAATACTTTTCACTTTGGTAAACCGAACTGAACCGAAATCAAACCGAAACACAAATGGTTTTAGTTTGGTACAAATTCTCCCAAGAACCCAAACCGAAGAAAACCGAACCGTAAACCGATTTGTCCACCCCTAGATTTTACCATGTATTGGTAAAGATGAGAATGTGCTTTTATACTACTTTTGATACTTAATTCTTTGTAAGTTAAGTGCAAGAAAAGAAATGGAAGAAACACAGATTATTATTGTAAAATTGAAATATTCCAATAAGTAAAAAGTAATTGGCCAATATCAGGAAACATATCAGGAAATAAATCCAAATAAAAAATAAACCTTGGGTGAGAAAACATAAATTGTCTCTCTCTGCATCGCCTCTTATTCAACACAATTGATTTGCTTACGAGCTTCAACTGCAGATAAACCCTAAATCGATTATTAGAAACCTAAAGAGCAAGAAACACACGGTTAAATGTTCGTTTGCAAGGGGGCTGTTATTTATTGGTAATGCAATACTAAGAGGGCATTTTGTAAACTATCTAACATTTCGGGAAGGAGGCAGAATTTGTTCCTGAAATGTATGGGAGAACAGGTCTTGATCAATTTAAGAAAGCTCAAACCTTCTCAGTTGGTACAACTTCATCAGCCTCTAAGACAAATACACATCCAGCTGTTCAATCTCTAGCAGCGTAATCTCAATCCCAAATATCTTACCAGCAACCTCAACATTAAAATCAACAAAAAAACAGAAGAGACTAATCTGCTACTACCTGCAGTGCCAAATCAGCACGAGATCCAAATGGAAGCATATATGTGATTGATTTGGGATCTGCACATGGTACATGTGTTGCAAATGAGAGACTGATAAGAAGGACTCAAATGTAGAACTTGAGGCTGGACAGTCTCTGAAGTTTGCTGCTTCAACAAGGACATATATTCTGAGAAAGAACAGCTCTGCGCTCTTTGCTCTTTAGTCTTTCCTCCTCCTCTACAACTTAAAGAAAGAAATCTCCCTCTGCCCCCGGATGCTACAGATGAGGAAGCAGTTTTGGCTTATAACACTTTTCTAAACCAGCAGTTTACGGGCTTACAAAACCAGCATAACATCTAAATCTTCCTATGCAAGTAGGGGTAGAGATGAAAATTCACTCCCTGAAAGAGATGCCAAGAGAGTTGAGAGAACTAGAGTGGTGTTGAGGAAATGGTGTTGAGGAAACAGGAAATGGTGCCCCGTAACTCCGATTAAGTATGATGTAGGGGGTGTTATTTTCCTTCTAGCTAGTATATATCATCTGTTTTGTTTTAGCAATTGTTCTTGGGGATTTCAAAGAAAGGGGAACTTCTAACGTGTATCAACATGTAAATGTGAAAAATGCTTCTTTCCTAAATAAAAAAAGCAGGAAACATGTGTAAATTGTAGAATACTCTCAAACAAATTTGCAAATTAAATATAGGTTCTGATGTTTGCTGACCTTTTCAAAGTAGTAAAAATATGCATACAAGCAGATTTGTGAAAGCTTTTTTTATCACATATTTTACTTTAGAAATGTAAATGTGTAACAGTAGTGAACTACAATCTATGAACATGACATACATGAGAACTATACATCCTATTAAGTACTCATTTTTGTTCTAAGATTTTAAAATAAACTATGACCTAAATAAAAATTGAAAATAAATTCTAAAGCTGCTATTGTTGTGTGGCAAACCAAATATAGAGATGTTGAACTTTTCCATCCTAAACGTCTAGACCATTACTTAATGTAACTTGGAAAACCATTACTTAAGCAAACTTTTTTTTGTTATTTTTGGAGACATGTCTTCCAAAATATTCTTGATGCATAAAGTAAATATAGAAAGAAGTAGAAGATAATAAGGACTTTTAAGGAAAAATATACCTTATCTATTTAAGCAAGGATGTTATTTTGTTTCAACCAAAATATCATGTTCTTTTGGAGAGTGGTTAGGAAAACTTCAGACAAGTGGACAAGTAAAAAGAATTTTCATTGCATCTTTTGATGTAGAAGTGCAATAGTAGTAATTCTAGTGAACATGGACAGATGGGATTAGTAGCAGATTATAGTCTTTGAAGCATGATGAGTGAGTGCTATATATCCTACGTAGTATTAAGTAGTCAATTATGTCATGAGATTCCATAATAAACTTTTAATTAAATTAATTTTGACACTAATCTCAAAGCTGCAGTCTGTGTGAGTTAAACCAAATACAGTAGTGTTAAATATGGAAAACAAACTCCAGAGTAGAAGTTTTTATAATTGGAGAGTTTTAATTGGAAAAAATGATTGAAAAGTATTAACTTTGTAACATAAGTGGTTAAAATTTCAACAAAATGCAACATGAAATAATTAGTAAGTGTAAAGTTTTACTCAACTGCAAAATGTAAAAACTGTGAATACTTTAATAAAAGTGATAAAACTACATTGACTTTGTTAGGATGGTGTAGCCATTTTTGTGACTCGATTTTTTCTTTTGTAATTTAAGTTTTCAGTGTGATGAGCATCAAAGTTTGATAGAAGTTTGAAACGTTCGTTGTCAAACAAATAGAAGTTGGAACTTAGGACAAACCAAAAGGTTGCATTTAACTGGAGTAAAGCGACAGTGAAGTGTTAATTTCACATATTTTAATCTAACAAAGTATATATCGAGGACTTCAGATATGTACTATGGAAGATGATTTTTGTCGAACGTTATGTAGACGTTAGGTTAGTCTGACTTTTAAATCTTATTTAATGGACTTCAAACGCAATTGGGAAAGCAATGTAATAGAAGTAGCACCGAAGCATATGAAAACCACATGGGAAAATTTAACTTGTTCATGCCTTGTGTAGATGAAATGAGTATGGTTAAATTTTGTTTGGCCCACACATCCATGTCTTCTAGATATTCACAAAGCATTTTAAACTGTAGTACAAGAAACAACTTAAAACTGTAAAAAAATTGTGAAAAGATAATACCTTGTGCGCATAGAGATTGTAACAAATGAAAATTTGGACGGGAAAGTGATGGCTTCCATGAATAAGCGAACATATTGTGTGATTGTTAGTAATTCTCTGGGAGGATATATTTTGTTCATTCCTCGAAATGGCACAGCTCTCTAAAGTAGGGATGTTAACGAGCCGAGCTGAGCCTGAACACTCAAAGCTCGAGTTCGGCTCGATAAGGAATTAGTGGTGTTAGAGTTCGAGCTCGAAGCTCGGCGAGCTTTACAAATGAGGCTCGTGTTCGGCTCGATAGGCGTTCGATGTTCGAACCGAGCGCTCGATAAATATGCTCGAATTTAAAATTTTAGGTGATGCTCATTAATAGGCTCGTGCTCGAATGATTCAACAAGTATCAACACATGGATTCCTAGAAAATACTCCGTATGTGGTATCAAAACAAGTGGTCAAAGCTTCAAAACTCCCTTCAAATTGTGGTGACACAGGAGTTTTGTGTGGATTCTTAAAATATGACATGGTTGCGGCCATTTGGAGCTTGAAATCCAAAGCTCTGGTGTCACCACCAGTCCACCACACATATTTTCTTTCTTTCATCAAAACATGTGTTGATATCAACACGTGGATTCTTAGAATTCTTAGACTCGCACATTATGGTTTTGAGCGATGAATGAACATGAATGAAGTAAATCACAAGACACTATTCTCCGGGTCTCTGGAGTCATAATTCTATACATTTACATTCACAGGGTCCTAGACTCATACTTTTGCTATACACACACTTCACAAAAGATATACCTTTTGTCAAAGTTCATAACGAACCCCATGATCTTAGTATTGTTATTACTGTCAAAAAATTATGTATACCTGCAATTTATACAATTCAATTAATTAAGTTCTGTATGCGATTTCAATCTTTTTTTAGTCTAGAATCTTAGAATGGTGCAATATGATATAAATGCTTGTCATGACTCATGAATCCTGTCAAAAAAATTGTATTGTGTTTCCAAATACGTAGTACAAGTGTACAACATAAATGCTTTGTTCGCAATGAACATTATGATAGAATGAAAAGTGCATTCTTTCCCTGAGCTTTCAAGTGTTTGATTACGCAAAATAAAATTGGAAACGTTCTCTATTCGGAAAGCAAAACATTTTCCTTGGTGGGAAACACAATTCCACTTCGTATAATTTCATTACACTCCCTCCTGCGAACTCTTAGTACCAAGCAGAGTTACAAACTCTTAAAACCATCCCCCCAAAAGCCATCGATACGTTGCAGAATGAACTTCAAAGCTAAAAAATAAGACAAAAAGCTGTCATGTTCACATACTCAAGGTGTGTTGCATACCGTTCACTAATGATGTGGCACCACCAAAATCATGACAAGTATATAATGACACTAACAACAACCCACTTGTCATGATTGTAGTGACATCACATGACTAATGGATGGCTTAACTGCAAAACTCTGATGGTAAATACTTTCACTAAGCACGGGGACAAAATTTACAGGTGTTAGGTTGTGAAAACAAAAACAGGAGCTCCTGACCACTCCAAAGTGCTTCTGAGATCCTATGATGGCATTTGAACCAAAGCATTAGCAGTTTAGAGAAGAGATGAAATGTGTCCTCCCCATCATTCATTTATTGTTAATGGTTGGGCGACCAATAAGCCGGCACTGCTCAGGAAGTGTGGATGAGATGACTGTTCCGTTAACACTAAAAAGTTCACCATCAATACCACAGCCACTGTGAGTGTGCTTTACCGGCTTAATCTTCACTGACTTTACCTGCATTTCATGCAAAAATCAAATGAGACTGTCTAGGTCTGTTCTACAATGTTTAAGTCTTCCAACGGCATCCGTTCAATTTTGAAAAACTAAAGAAAGTTAGAGTATAAAATATTTATTGTCCCCCAAAAGCACACCGTTGTGTGGAAACAGCTGTCTATAAAATATTTATCAACCAAACAAATTCAAAAAAACACCACACTAAGGAAAAGGGATTAGCTTGCCTTAACGTATTCAACATATGGAAGTGAAAGGTGCCGGCCCATTTGCATAAGCAAGAAAAATCTCAAAAGCTTTAGCCTCCCACTCCCATGGACCATCAACAGATCTAGGGTGTTATCATCGTGCTCAGCTTTGGGTGCCACAACCTGGGAACTGAAACTTTGAACAGTTTTACATGAATGGTTGCAGACGAGGACACCAAGAAATGGACCTTTGGAAGTGATCCACTTCTCCTCGAGATTCAGGGGATTCTCCTTCTGAGCAGATTCTTTGGTATCCGCAACAGGCAACTCAATAGGATTTTCCACATCCCAATGATTAGGTTCAGAGTCCCATCTAGGTTCAGAATCCCAAATTGGACCAGGATCTGATATTGTTGATGAAATATCCTCTTTATCATGCATTGCCATATTTGCCCAAGAAGATCTATTGGGATCATTTGCAGAAGGCATTCCAGTCCATCCTTTGTCAGTCCTAGACTTCGACCTAGTCCTGGGATAGTTCGTACTTCCAGAAATAGGGAGTTGAGGATAGATAACTTCTGGTTCAGTAGTTGAGTGGTTACTTCTTCCAGCAGATAACCGTTTAGATTTTGGATCTATGGCTCTTACGTAGTCAGATGGTTCAGTACTACTGCAAGTTGTATCCAAGTCTACACTTGGACTCATCATTGAATCAATGCTTGATAAGCTAGAGGGTCTGGGAAGGCCTTCCTTGCTTGATCTCCTCATGATGTCAGTATACAGCTCTGACATAACAATAACTTCTCCATCAGCTAAAGATTTCATGTCTTCAGCCACTTCTTTTGCTGCTGGGAGATATTCCACTTCATAATTGTACTTGGGCAAACACAAGAACTTGAGAAAACCAGCAATGAAATAGCGCAATGGACCGAATCGCTTCTGATACCGATCAGAACGTTCCAAAACTACAAGCAAATGAGTCAAAGAGAACAACATTCACATTTCAAATGCATTAAAAGAAATAAGTTACCCCCATCCAAATATAAAAACAAAACACTTGTATTAAATAAATCTTCCAAAACTGTAAAAGTTCTCTATACTAATACGTTCGTCTCACTATCTCTGTCACATCGTTTCTTTTTCGTCCCTCCCACTAAATTTGTCTCACACTATATTTGGTAACATTTGTGTGGTTTCAATTCATACTTACTTTTTTCATAGTTGAAATCTAATGTCAATCACATAATTCCACTTTTCATAATAATCATGTCACTTTCTCATGTCCCAATCTTACAGTATAAAATACACATACTGCCTCCTTCCTCCGGGAATATGTTTACCACATTTACGAAGTGATACATTTCTTATTCATAGGAACTTTTTTATGACGAAGCAATGATTATTGATGAATTTATTAACTTAAAGAAGTTTGATATCTCAATACAGTAGTGAGGTCAAGTTTCAGTGGACGGAGGGATTAAAATAGAAGGGAGAAAATGCATACTCTTGAATTGCAAGAATGCTACAAACTGTAAAAGACATAAGGTTGCAATGTTCGTCACAGAATTTGAAGATAAGTAATCCATTGTTGATGATTTTCCTTTATTTCAAAGTTTAAGTATTTTAAACATAAACTGAATGATAATAGTAACATAGGAGATCTTTAGAGGCAAAAAAATCCTGGTAGACAAGAGTAACAAGTTGTCTATGGGTTGGTTTGCAAACGCTTTAAAAAAACACTTCTCGGCTTTTGGCTTTAAAAAAGCACTTCTTTTACCAAACACTACAACTTTTATTTTTCTCGGCTTTCGTGTCAAAAGTGCTTTTACTTTTTCTATTACACAAAAAACACTTATTTTACCAAACACTACCAACTTTTACTTTTCAAAATCACTTTTTTCTCAAACACTATCAACTTTTATTTAATCACTTCTCCCCATTTCATTAAAAAAAGCACTTTTTTTAAAGCAGAAGCTGTTGCAAACAGACCCTATGTCTATTTCACTTTGGCAGATACATCAGTATTTATTTATACAGCTAGGACTTATCGATTTGCACCCCAGAATCACCTGATATTGTTAGCAACTTATAATTTCATCATATCACTAACTAACAATAAAGACAGCACTCAGAGAGAGGGAAGACGAAAGATTGTGTGAAAAGAAGTGCAGCATACAAATGGGACTTTGGCACTTGGAACAGGATTATCCCTTGGCAGGAGGGTATACATAACTTTCAATGCATCTACTAAATGTCATCCTTGAACAAACTTAATCGGTCCATACCCTAGTAAAAGCCTCCTATTATAGTCTTTTAAACCACAATAACTCAAATTAGAAAAGTTCTTACTCCTAATGACTCAAAAAAGCATGAAGAAGCCAAACAATAACATATATGTATCCCTAATTGCCTCAAAGTTGTATAGGCATTCCTTACAATTCAAAATACCTTCCCCTATTCAGCTTTGAAAAAGTTTTCTACAATAAACTACTGGAATGTCAAGAGTCAAGACTGAAGAAAATGGAAATTGTCTGTGACAAAAAGGGTCTCCAACATAGCACCAAAAAACAACATTCATGCCAACATTTTAGGGTTGTATATTTAAATCCTCACGACAGAACCGGTTGAAAAGCACCTCACACATATGCGGGAAAAGAAAGAGGAATACAAGTCAAGGATACTTTCAAGTCTTCAACTTCATCTTATCTATTATTCTTGCACAATACACAGAAGAAACCTTTTCCTGGTATTCTCCAGTGCTACAACTATTCTAGCATGGGGACCAGTTTAGGCAGATTGTTCGACCGGATATATTGTTTATTAATAAACGATGAGTTTATGGTGGGTGGTGAATAAGATATTACAAAAAGCATTTTAACAACAGTTAAAGAAAATGCATTTTAACTTAGCAGTTTATGTGCTAAGTTAATAAAAGCTTTTTATATTTTACCCAAAATGCCCTTACTTAATGTGGTGATTACTTACTTCACATTCGATGTGGTTGGTATAATTTGGAAAGTTATATTTAATGTGCATAGATCTCATAGAGGTCAGAGAAAAAGGAAAAAGAAAAAAGAAATTTTGGTCAATGAAGATAGATCTCAGACTCTCAGTTTAATAGTCATCCTTAAAAGTTAAAAACTATAAACAAAATGGTTTTAGACACACCAAGGAATATTCATATATAAATAAAAAGCAGTCCGTATATGGAATGATAAAAAAGATACATGTGAGATATTGAATAGTGAAGAGAGACATACCATCACTAACAAAGCCAAAGTACGACACAGTCATTCCAAAGTGGATTGCACCACTTTGAACCCACTCAACAGCAAAAACATCTGTTGCAGTAAGACCTCCCTGAAATGGGGGATAAACAACTCATAATCTCACATAAGTGGAAAATGTCCTTGAAAAGCAATTACATGTTATAGGGGGCTCATTTGTCTGTTCATTTGATTTCTTTGATACTACCATTAAGTTCTCATTGACCTTCTACCATATAAACGATCTAAATCCTAGGAAGACCTCATTGTTGAGTAGGGTATAAACCATAAAAGTACATAATTAATTTCTACCAGGAAAATATTCTCAAATAATGTCTGGTATGATTCGAGACCTTCTATCATGTAGAAATTAATAAGCTTCAGAGAAATCTATCAAACAGACGAAAAATTCCCAATATTGGACAAACTTCAAAAAACAAAAGTATCATGAACCAGCTAAATTAGCAAAGAATGCATTTCCCATAGGAATCACTTGCTAAACTTCCTCCATTAATGCTTTCCATTCTAAATTTAAATGGGTATTACACATGCCAGGACCATTGACAGATTTCAGTTATTATTTCTGGATTCTGATTAAATGAAACAGAGAGCATTCTATTATCGTTATAGTTATAGACTTGTAGTTAAGAACGCTACCAAGGATGTAGAGTAGATCTGTACAAGTTTTTACTGTGAAGATATTTTTTTTACATTTGCATGGACATAAGATTCACGTGATCCGCATTCAATTTATATACTGAACTCATCATCATTTACCCCAGTGCCGCAAAGGCTCCCACCTACGGTGGGGTAAGGGGGGGTCGGATGTACGCAGTCTTACCCATGTACTAAAGCACAAAGAGACTGTTTCCGGATGACCCATAATGAAAATCGCGTCCAAAATTGCATGGACTGACTGCTGCTTCATAACTAAGAAGAGCAGACAGTTTGGTGAGCCATTTTGCTTTATTCCATCATATTCAATTTATATACTGAAATACTCATCATTTAATTACTTCAATGTGAAGTTTCCGGTGCGTAGCATTCAACAAAGGATATGGCTTCAAAACTTAAACTGATATAAAAACATTAGCATGCCTCCTCCACTCGAGCCCCCAGCTGTGCAGTATACTTTTACATGAAACTATGAAAGAAATGTACGAAATATAGAAAATTGATCTAAGACTAACTACATAAAGTTCATCATAATGATCTAGCTAATGAGAGATGCACCACGTGAACTAACACAATATTTTAACACAAAATTGAAGGCATGGATCATGCATTCATTAACAAAAATGTGAATGATTAATACCTTGACTATGGCTATTGCAGCAGATGTGGGGTCCCTAACACCAAGAACAGTCCAAACCAAAGAATTATCCGAACCAGCAGGTATGATTCCAATTGGAATTGAAATTGCTTCTTTCTGGTTGGGCCTACATAGTAAACCATTTAATACCTGCGGTTTGCACAGAAATCATGTAAGCAAGCAATTTAATGTATAAGACAAAGCTTCCTCAATATAATTAAGACAATTGCAAGTATAATCTTAATCAGTATGTGACTTTTGAAAAATCATGTAGGTAAGCAGTTAAACATAAAAAGGGTAAAAAACAAACAGGGAAAGAAAATGCAACTTTTAAAATTTTATTACAGAAAAAATTGTTCAATGAATTGAAAGCTCTCAAAAGAAATGGTAGAACCATGAGTAACTTAAGACCAACTTAATATGTATAACTCTCGGTAACTATATCTCCAAAATTAACATAATGTCATATTCCTGGAATATTTATAATTAAGAAAATAAAATTATTTGAAATAAGGTAGATTATAAATAAGACAACTGCAAAATATTTGCAATGCTTTGAGATAAAATTTGTGAGCCAGATGCTGCTTTTGAATTAGCGTGGGCCTATTAAAAGTGAGCTAAATATTAGCAATATAGTAATGTATTAAATAATAAAAATGACAGAAATATTGCTGGGAGTCTAACCTCATTCACTATCCCATCCCCTCCAACACATATAATACCTGCAAGAGTAAATCAGAGAATAAAAATTGAGCTCAAGAACATTAAGAAATTGAGCAGATATAAGTAATTTGGACAGAAGACTTGTTGGGATTTTAGGCGAACTAAAACCATCACGTACCATCAGGGCAGCTACTGAAGTCAACTGTGGAAGCAAGCTTCCGAGCATGACCAGCAGATGTTGTTTTCACTACCTCCAAGTTAAATCCAGCAAGCTATTAATTTCCAGCCAACAAAAAATAGGCACATATCAAGAATATAAGTCTTTGCACCCAAAAAAACAAAAAGACTTTTGTGCTTTGATGTAACGGATAATACAAGCATGTCCATTAGCACTATTGTTGTCACAAGATTATGTGATGTGCATGCAGCAGTGCTTCATAACAACTCCTATTAGCCAATGCTTAGTTACGCTCACCACTTCATCTCTTCTTAAAAAGCCATGTAGAAAGTCCTATCTAACTGAATAATGAAGCAGACCAAAGACAATCATTTGCAGCACTAAGATAGGAGAGGTCCACCACTACACCCCAGCTTTTGAAAAAAGAAATCCCAATTTAAACTAAACAGCTAAAGTACTTGATTAGATAGTAACAAGAAATCAGCTGAAGAAGTCTCCTCTGAAAATTTATAGGTGCCAAATTTCTAGGATTTATTTACCATTCCGAGATAACAAACAGGTTAAAGGCCTAAAATATGTCTACTGATAATTGAAGAGGGTCATGCATTTTAATTTTTACATCACTTAACATTACGAAGAGTTGGTGATAGGTCATTTCCACTTACAGAGACTGTACTCCGCTTGTCAAGAACAAACAGAGCAAGTCAACAAGTTCAATTTGCACCTGTGCGTTAGTAATACATTAAGATAGATTGTTAGTAAACTTTACCTTGAATATAGGTTCTGCCATGTCATGAAACACTTTACTTGAACGCCCTCGTCCGGATCTTGGGTTTAGAATCACAAGCATTTTAGGTGGAGTCTTACATCTTATATATGATTCAGGAGGAAATTCATTAGTAACCATCTCTGTTGCCGGCTTCTTTGAAGAACCCAGAGGATGTGACAACAAATTTACATAACACTGCTGTTCTGCTAATGCACTGACCCATTGAAGCGCTTCATCAGCAGAGGAAGCTACAAAGCGAAAATCTTTACGACCTCTTCGAGGTTTTTGCAAACAAGAGAAACCGCACGAAGCTCTTCTAAATGGATATGAATGAACAGTGAAATGCCGAAGACCTGGGCAATATGACACCTGCAGAATTCAAGTTATCTAACGCAGATTAAAAACCAGGGGGGTTGTATACAAGTAAAAGCTTCAAAAATAACTAAATGAAGCTTACCGAAATAACATCGGCTAAAGACACTATTTTAGAACCCCAAACCATGGCCTTACTGGTAAGCTTGGCCTCAACAGCATCCCGGATTGCAGTCTCCTCTGAGCATTCCTCACCAGCCTTTTTGCTGGCCTTTTTCTCGTTCAGGGAAAGTTTCCCGGTAAAAACTTCATATCCTAGAAGGTCAGACTGCTCGTCTCCTATATCAATCTTATGTTCCTCCTCTTTATCCTTCTTGGGATCATCAAAATTGGTATCACCAACATCTCTGCCCTGCCGAGCCGAGCTCCTCCCTTTGTTACGCTTCTCCGGGAAGACAATTGGAGATGAATGCTGTCCCGTCGTTATCTGAGAGCAAAAGCCAAGCCTACGAAGGGACTGCGGAGATGAAGCAGCAAGCCTTAAAGAATTGTTCTTGGAGAGATTCCCACTCTTCTGCATATCAAACTCTAGCAGAATCCAAGGTGAAAATTTTCCCGTGAAACCCTACGAACACCAGCTAACACTGGTGAAAATGATCCTGGATCGAAGACCCCCACAAACACAACAATTATTTCACGCAAGTGACAAAGCTGCGGGCCTGGAGATGAATTTTACAGGTCCAAAATTACAGCTAAAAATCAGTAGAACGATAAAGAGCGTCAAACTTACCTCGGATAATTATGCCAAAATGACGATCCCGGCGATAATTACATCGGGAAGGAAGGGTCTATGGTTGAAGGAAAAGCAGACCACTTTTTGCTTTCCAGTGTTTGGGATGAAAGAGAATGGCAGAGGAAACAAGTACTCCGTCCGTATTATCCTTTTCCAGCTTATACGAAACAGAATTCGAAGTTGTGATGAAGTCAACAAACGCCTCATATATCTTCACAAATTCACCATAACAAACAAAAATTAAATCAAATGAAAGTATGACGGCCTTCACCTTAATTAACTCTTTCTTGTCAGAAGTTTTGTTTCTTTGCTTCCCCATAATAAACGCACTAACTGCTTGTTAGGTCTCTGTAAATTGTAATGACCAAAACGAAGTTTTATTTCTTTGCTTCTTCTCAGTATACTGCTTTAGAGCCCATTTGGTAGCACCAAAATCGGCTGTTTTGGCTGATTCTGCTGAAATTTATGATATTCTGGCTGAAGTGGCTGTTTTGGCTGATTCTGCTGATTTAAGAAAAAAATATTTTAAAAATATATTTTATTAATAAATTAAAGAAAAAATTATATGTAAAAATAGCTAAAATGGTCCTCTACAGTGACTTCAGCCAATACAGCCAGAAAAGTAACTCCAACCTTACTTTTTCGGCTTATTACACAATTCATTGCGCGAAAGTAAAAGTTACGTGTTTGGTGAAAAAGCTGGCTGATAAGCCTTATAAGCCGAAAACAGAGTTCTCCAAACAGGCTCTTAGCTTCTTTATTTTTACGGAGTAGTTTTTTGTGGAAAAGTTCAAATGTTCTATGGAGTAAGTATTTTATGATGCTTTTAAAATTTCCTGGTCTTGATCTGATTTGTTTAAATTCCATTTGGTTTGATCTAAACTAGTCTGATCTGATTTGTCTATGTGTTTTTTATAATTACGAAAGTCTGATCTGGTCTGAACCGGTCTGGTTTGATCTGGTTTATTTAAGTCTGGTCTGAGACTGAAAACAATCAACGTCCTTATTTTCATCATTAGCGCCTTATACAATATACTATCATATTAAAAATGTATTATATAAATATGCTCTTGAAAACAAAATTAGTTTAACATTTTTTATCTACTTAAGAAAGTTGTTTTTGAAAAATTAAATTAAAACAAGTGATAAATCTTATAAAAATCATTTAAATATGAAAAACACATTAATAATAATATAAAAATACAAAAACGCCAAAAAAACAAGAAAAGTTCAAAACAACAAATCAAAATAACAAAGAACTGATACAACAGGACAAAGATCGGTTGAACCGCCTCATTTTTTTCTTCAATAAAATGTCTCCTTTCCCTCATTGCGCCATTCTCTATCAAATTGAACCGCCTCACTCTCAATCGAATAATTAGATGTCATGTAGCAATGAATTGTTTTTGTAAAATGTTATAACTTTTTCATTTGTGCTCTTATTTTAGCAAAAATTATATCAGATTAGAGTTTTTATGATCTTTCATACGACAGAATCACACCAATATAAGTAACCATGCTTTGGAATCAAATGAATCAATTGTTGTGTGGGTACATCTACCCACCCATTAATTCTTAAATTCGCATCTTGCATTGTACATCTGCTTTCTAAATGTAACATTTTCAAAGTTTGCTATTCTTAAATTTTAGAGATATGTCTTAGGTTTGCATCCCACCTAGCTAGGATAAGTATCTCACCAAAGACATATCTTTCTTTGCCATCTTGCCAGCAAATTTGTGACCCAATAAACTTGATTGAATACTGTGGTTGCGAAATTCGGAATGAACCTGCAATCGCCATAAATTCTGCTGCACTTCACCCCCATCTAATACAAAAGAGCAATCACTTTTCTTTGTATCCTTGTCGCTTTTTTCTATCTTGTTTCGCTCATTGTGTATTAGTTTGATTGCAGTTCAATACTTAACCAATATTTTCACATGATAACTACATGAGCAAGTTTTTGGGAATTACTTGGCTTGACTTTGCAACTATTAATATCATGCTTCTCGTATGGACCTCTATTATAACACAATTAATCATAGTCTCACAATATGCCCAAGTTTTATTAATTTGGAAGTCATTCAAAAAATCATCTGAAGTGAATGGTTGTGCTTCTTCAATAATTGAAGGTTCAAAATTCTTTTTCTTCGATACAAGTTGAGCTATCACAATAAAAAATAAGGCCAATGTAAACATCACTATCATACTGCATATATCATATTTTAATAAAAACAAATAATTTGAGAAACATGTATTGCAAGCACATTTAATAATACACTAAGTTGCTAAAAACATAATTAATAATTCATTGAGTTCACGTAAAAAATCATGAAAAGTGACACATATTTTATATAGGCTCGTCTCCATGAATATTACTAAATCAAATTTTAAAAAATGACTTATTTTAAAATTCTCCAAAAAATGTCATATTCAATGACTATTTCGCAGTGACTCATCGTCTACCGGTGAATCTTGTTCAGTTATTTGTATACATTAACTAGTCATATTTTTATCCAGAACATATAGCTTATCATATATACATAACATGTCTAGAGAAACTTTGTTTCTAATATATATGTCATTCTTTCTTTAAAATATTTGAAAACTTTGATAATTTTTTCAACCTTCTTCATATTTATCAAGTTTTCTAAATCAATAACTCATTGGATTTTGACATATAAAACTTATCTACCAAGTTTTTAAAATTCATTATATATTACTCTTGTTTTCTAAGTTCTGCCCTTTTTTAATTTCAACGTTTCTAAAAATTGTTAAGTAAATACTATTTTTTTATTTTATTAACTATTACTTACCCCATTCCAGATTTTGGAAGATCAAGATAAAATAATTAATTTATTTTAGAAGTAATGAAATTAAAAAAGGGAAAGTGTGGAAACAGCAAGGTACATGTGGTTTTGCCCATTTTCAGATAGGGGCATGTGTTTCATTTTTTAACCAAGTAGGACATGTGTTTCAATTCAGTTATCACACGCCTAACGTTGTTAGAAATCGTCAGAGGAATGCGATGAAAAGTAACTTCAATTTTCAAAAGTATCTGAAAAATTAAAAGAAAAATATTGGGAGGTGCGTTTCGTAAAGGACACACTCAAACCATCCTCCTATTTGGATTTTTTTGGCTTTGTTTGAATTATTGTTTTTTAAAAATTGCTAATCTCACTTTTCATGTGGACTTCTTGGCGACAAGAGTGGTTGGAAACAAGAAAGTAAGATGGTCTAGATATTTTCTTGATGAGGTGCACCTAGTAGTATTTTTCTCTTAATTTCTCGAACACTTTTGAAAATAGGAGTTATTGATCATCGTCTTCCTTCGGCGATTTATTAAGGCATTAAGCACCATGTCCCTCCTATGATAAACGGGATTCAAACACGTGGCTTACCTTGTTAAAAAATGCAACACGTGCCCCTGTCTGAAAATGGTCCAAACCACATGTACCCAAATTAAAAATTAGTTTAAAAATTTGTAATACTTATTTTTTTTTTACATTTGAAACATACTGATGGATAGATAATATGATATCCAAACTTCCAAAGTATATAAAATGGAGAGATTGAGCTAACAGATGAGAAAGTGATAAATAGTGTATTATGAATGAGTTTGTGAATTAGGTTTACAAAAGCTCCAAGAAGAGTATTTATAGAGAAATAACGGGTTGGGTCACTATTATGGGCCGGATAGGCCAATTACATAAAAGTTTAATCTAGTAGATACAAATGATATACGAACTATACAATAATACAAATAACAGCTAGTAAGCGTATGTGAAAGAGAGTGTAGCTATGTGCTGATCTTCGATGCAAGTGGCAATACTTGTAAAAATTTGAAGTTTTGCTTCTTCTATTAACGGAGGTGCCAAGTATCCCCCTCTTCCAGTCTCTCACTCCTTGAGGCGAGCCTCGTTAAAAACCTCATTAGGAAAAAACCCTATGATAAAAAATTCTAATGAGGGAAAAAGAGTACACTGAATGCTCCCAAAATGAAGCAAAAGGGTCAGCCCTTCAGCCTAAAAGTGGAGCTACAATGGTCACCATCTGCTGAAAGGATGACCGAGACCGGTCTCCATATGTGAGTAGCCTGCCATGATGCATAGTCCTAGTCATAAAAAAAGATAACTAGAAGATAGGTTGAGCGATCGTCCATAAAATGATGTTCAGGTCATCAAATACATATGACCGGAATATGTGCCTGAGTGGCCTATATGAAGTCCAAGTCGTCAAATAGGTGGCATAGTTACACCTAAGCCACTTATGTGTGAGGTGTTGGAGACTGTATAACCAAGCTCATTCCATCGGTCGAACTTTTTTGGGCCCTTTCGTATATGGGCCGCGAGTTTCTGTATCGGTTGGGCCGCGCGTCCTATTAGTATTGGGGTTAGGTTTTATTCTCTATAAATACAAGTTCTCTCTCCTTGTAATCATTATCAGAAAATAGTGGTAACATCCTGGCTTGGTAGCGCCCCCAGACGTAGTCCTTTGTGGCGAACTGGGTTACCAAAATTCGTGTGTCTTTCTTATTGTTCTTCATATTGCCTTAGTTAAATCGTAACACTATGCATTCAAATAAAATTGTTATAATTTTTTGAGTTGCAATTGATTTTGGGCCTAATTACGTTGCCTCAAACTTTCAAGCTATAGCTCAAACTAGATTTCTATGCTTAGTTGGAGCGTGGCACACACCTAAGCTGGATAGTTCGAATCTGACAGTTAGAGGGCACACATAACTCATACAAAACATAGAAACTAGAGTATGTATTAGATAACAATTGGATTGAGAGCTTATTATAGCCACACCCATATGACGTGACCCGGTGGTGCGAGATTTCAGCACTCTACCGTGTGTGTGAGTGCTCGGAATTCATAAGTCTGTTTTCCAATGTAAAAAAAAGCAAGGATCAAAATATAATTTCACGAGTTTCAAAGGAAATAATTCTTTAAATAACTCTAAAAATCTAAGCATTGATGATTTTTTATTCTGATATGGTTTGATGTGATCGAGTAGTGGTCTAGTGACCGAAAGAAGTTCAAGTGAAAATATATACTATGTATTACATTATACTCCTTCCGTCCCGAAATGGTTTGCCAAATTGCCTTTTCTTGGTCGTCAATGACAATCAACTTTGACCAATGATATTTTTTAATAGAAATTATTTTGAATATGAAAATTATATCAAAATGATCTTTA